GCTCTAGTCCCTTATCTGAACTCTATGTGTGTCTCTTGTAAACAACAAATGGCTGGATTCTGCTTTCTTTTCCCTTCTGCTATCTGCTTTCACCCCCTTCTCCCAGTCTCTATCCCACTTCAGGGCACTATCACCTCTCATCTAGATTGCTGATAAGTTTTCTTATCTCTGGTCTCCGTGCTTCAAATCTTTGTCTTCTCCAATTTGTCCTCTACATGACTGCCAAATTGATGCTCCTAAAACTACATCATCCCCTACTGAAAAACCTTCTGTGGCTCCCTACTGCCCCTTGATGAAATGCAGACTCCTTGGCTTGGAATTTAAGTCCCTCCACAGTCTGGTACAGAGGTTCCCAAAGTAGGTGATACCACTCCCTAGGGGCACTAGAAAGATCTAGGGGGGCAGTAGTAACCTCGGGTGCAATTGGGGGACATTGAATAAAAATAAGGAAAAGAAGAGAAGAAAATTTTGAAAAACTTTGTACGTGTTTCATCTGTTGTGTAACAGAGTTAAAGTCGTAGTGATTACATTATTTTCCAAATAAACACATAAAATGCAAGTTATAACCAATCAGCACTCAAGTCTGCCAACAGGTCTTAACAAGCAAGTGTCGGCAGGCAAGTATATCACACATTGTCGGGAAGTCCAGCATGCATTGGCAGGAATATGTGCATGTAATGACTTGTTTACAATACAATACTATGAGGTTACATGATGCAATATTGCATCATCAAAATGTCAACGCAGGAAAAAACTCACAAATTTACAATAAGTTATTAAATTTAAGATGCGTCATTTAAAAAAAATATTTTTTAAATGATTCAAATTAAAAAAAAACTATTAAAGGGTTAAAGAAAGTAGATTTACAGAGGGAGTGCTGAGTAATTTTTTTTAAAAGGGGGCGGCAGGCCAAATAAGTTTGGGAACCTCTGATACCTACCCATCTTTCCAGCCTAATTTCACACCACTTCCTTAACAATCTTTGCTCTAGTCTAATTGCCCTGCTGGCTGTCTCCTGTATGTGGTGTGCCTTTTCACGGGTGATGGTGTCCCATGTCCGGAGGGCATCCCTCCCTCCCTCTGGCTTTGTTCAAAGCGCAGTTCAGGTGCCTCCTTTTAGACAAGACCCTTCCTCACAACCCCAGTTGTTAATGCCCCCTCCCCTCCATCACTCTGCATTAATCGACCCTTCACATGCTGTTGTCCTGGCTCTGACACCCCTGTGTTACATGATAATGGACTCTGAGGGGAGAGAGAAATGAGGGTCAGGGCACCAACAGGATGCTGTTGTTAGGGCAAACACATTTCTGAAAAATTATTCTTATTACTCCACAAATTGTTCAGTCAAAACCTGAATGGGCTCCCAGGAGGAGAAATGTCTCTTCTTCAGTACCTCCCTCTCCCCCACCCCCCTTCCTGATGCTTGGGATAAATCACCAAGTGCTCATGCTCTCATTCTACACAAATTGGATGAGAAACTGAATTATGCTGCCTTGCTCCCACAAAGCATCAGTGGCATACTCAAGTGGGTTCAATGTGGCCCAGACACAGCCTTCATCACGAAGCCTGTGCCTTCATTACCAAGGAAGCCAACAGGAGAGAAGCCCATCTACTGCCTGTGTTTCCACTAACTCACATTGGCTGGAAGCCCAAGATGCCAGAAAAGATGGAATAAGCAGGAGATCAAGCCCAGTGGCCAGAAGGGAGGCATCAGGCCAAGCTTCCAGGCCCATGACTCCTCTCCAAAATGGGCCAGCCATGGTTGTTCCTTGGCTATGGTGCTGAAGGCAGGAGAGCCTCCTTAACACAGGGAGCCAGAAGGGGCACCGTCACCAGTGCCATCTGCGCGCTAGAGTGGGGAAGCGCCTGGAAGGTGGTCTGTCTGGTCTGATCTGTCTCCCCATTGTTTAGCACAGGCAAAAATAATACTCACAGTAATCATCATCATCATCATCATCATCATCATCATCATCATCATCATCGTCATCACTTGTGTTTGTATAGGCCCTAAGGGCCACAAAGCACTTCATAAATATCTCATTTGATCCTCACAACACACTGGGAGACAGGTGTATTTTGCAGATGAAGAAACCGAGGCAGGCAAAGGTTAGATGACTTGCAAAGGGTCACACAGCTAGTGGAGTGTCCTCAGGGCGATTTGAACTCAGTACTTCCTTATTTCCACTGCACCACCTGGCTGCCACCTGTACACAGCAGCGGCTTGATAAATGCTTGTTGAATTGAAATCTGCTCAACTGAAAACTGTCTGCAATTTTAAACATACAGTGCTCTACTCCAGAAGACCATTCCAGGGGCGTGTCTCCGAGTCTTTAGAATCTTGTGGCTCTCCAAAGGACGGGGATGAGAATGGGAGCCTGCCACGGGAAATTCTCCCCTATTCTCCCTGAGCTTCCTGGGGTTGCCTGATGCCTCTTTGAAAAGTACTGAATGTCTTCCTCAGTACCTCCCTTCCTCCGATTAATTTAAGATTAAATGTGATCATCAATGATTATAAAATCCTAATTTGATTTGGTTGAAATTTTGTTTTGAAGCTAAATCATAATACGCTCTCATTTACAGTGAGATGTGTTCTCCTACGAGGATAACTGTGGTAAATCTGGGAAAGCCGAGTTAAAATCCAGTCTCAGAAGTTTATTAGCTGTGTGACCTTAAACAAGTTACTTCACCTCTGGTCACCTCAGTTTGCTAATCTGTAAAGGGGATACTAGAAATAACCCTCACCTGCAGGGGGGAGGTGGGTGAGGGTCAGACAACGAGAGGATAATGACTGTGAGGTGCTCAACGCGGTGACTGATGAGAGCTCTCTGTTATGACTCTCCTTTCTTTAACTGGATGTAAGGTCGCTACACTGGGTCTTAGATGTGACTGGTGGGAGGCCAAAGTCGACAAAAGGAATGACTTTCTTTGTCAGATAATCTCGAAGCGCCTTCAGCTGAACTGGTGCCACTGGCCTGGCAAGACTTACTTTGTGTATGTTATCTAAATTTTTCTTCTTACATTGTGAAATTTGGGAAAACATTGCATCTGAAGTGCTATTAGAAAAGTCACTTCTCTTTTAATTTGGATGCTGTTATAGTACAAATTCAGCTGTGATAGAATGTGGTCCAAATGTTTGAAGATGGTTACATGTTTAATTACGTTTTACTTTTAAGTAATAATAATAATAATAATAATAATAATTTACTGTTTAAAGAAAAAAAGAGCAAAGACCCCTCAAATGATCCTTCTCTGTGAGGTGCCTTGAGACTTTTCTACTTGGGCAAGGGTCAGAAGGTTTCATCAGCTCTGCTGGCAGCATGTGCTAAAACTCTGAAGTCTGACCAACTCCCAGACAAAATGGGGAAACTCACTGGTTTGCTTACAGTGAAGAGAGAGTTTTTATCTGAGATTATTCGATCAACAGTTAAGAAAATGATGCAGCTGTACCTGTTCATGGTCTGTAGTGATCTTAGTCTTTGAGCCAACTTAGTACCAACAGATCTTGGCTTAGAAGATTTCAATCTTGCCTTCGGGGCAAGATTAGCTATGACCAGACTAATCCCACACCATCTCTGATAATATTAAAGAGACAGAAGGGCTCATTCTCCAAGTCTGGCCCTCCCAGACTCTTTTTCCCACTCTTCCTTTGGCCTGGCCTGTCCGTATAAGACATCAGGGCTCAGCTCAAGATAGAAACAGCAAGGGTTTGCACAAGCAGGAATTCTCTGAAGCTTCAGGTGAATCATGGATTCCTAATCTGATGCTCTTCTTAGAGCTCTGCTGTTGATGGAATCAGAACCCTAAGGTTTGAGCTAGTTTTCACCACATGAGCTAGTTATTGGAAGGCCAAATTGAGGCAGTTGTCCTAAACCGGGCTGAGTTTTGTCACTGGCAGATTTTAGCAGAATTGCCTAGGAACCAGAGAAGCAAATCTCCTGGAGAAGCCCCTCCAGGGCTGCCCTGAGGACAAGCCCCATTCCAGAACGTCCCAGGGAAGGCCTTTCTGGGACCAGAGGACATCCGGGACATGTGGGACTCAAGGTGGAGTGTGCTGACTAAACAAACACTGGGAATGGGTTACCAGGCTACCAGGAAGGCGATGACTTAATACTGATGACCACTGCTGTATCACTGTGACTTTTTGTTCCAGCGTCTGTATGTCTGCTGGGTTTTGTTGGCTGCCTTGGTGACATGTAAGATGAGCCCGAGGTGAGCTCTCTAAGCAGTCTGGTCTGTGGCCTGACTTTGCTACAGAGTACGGTATATGTAGTATTAGACTGTGTTCCTGGTTGTGCTTCTCATCCCACCTCTTCGCTGCCCCTCATGCAACCTACCATTTTGTCCAGAAATCTCAGCTAAAGCATTTAAATAAGTGATCTTGGGGGCTGGGAAGCCCAGGATCAAAGGGGGGAATGTTACATTAAAAATGAGCATTAATGACTCCATTTTGTCTTTTACCCACAATTCTGTGAAGTTTCAAACTGATTTTGGAGACTGCGCCACTGATTCACCAGACCACAAGAACGCCTCACCTGACCGTCTCCTGATCCCTGGAACCCATAAGAAACCAGGTGTTTTAACCTCTATATCCTGTTTTTAATTCCCTCCAAATTGTATGTTCATAGTGAGAAACCAAACTCCTGGGTCCTTGGCTACTAAGACCTGGGCTTAAGACCTTGGTCCTGGTTTGTTTTGCAATCATATGCACTGCCAAAAAAATCATTTGCCTGGATGAAACTCAGTTTCTTTTTCTTTTTTCTTTTTCCCACTGGAACAGTGGGTAACCTGACGACTCGGGTCTCCAATTCTGGGTCCAGGACGCTATCCCTGGAGCCACCGAGGTCCTGGGAAATGAGCGGATTGACCCGGGGTCACTGGTGAAAGCAGGGATCCCATGCAGGTCTCTGGACTCCAGGACCAGTGCTCTTTCCCCAAGAGACCGCCATGGTCTGTCTTTCTAAGCAACCCTTCACCAGAACTCCTCAGACCTGGCAACATACCGTGTCCTTTGGGGGATGCTGCCTATTCACAAGGCGCTCCTTCTCTTTCTTCATTGCGTCGGCCTGCTCTCGCCATTTCTGGAGCATTTTCTTATCTCTGGAAAAAATACACGTACTGTAAATGACAGATCAAAGCACCTTAAGTTACATTAGTGTTATGGGAGAGCTTTCCTTTGGCGTGTTTAGATGTCACTCAGTAATTTTAGTCGTGTCTGACTCTCTGTGACCCCATCTGGGGTTTTCTTGGCAAAGATTCTGGAGCAGTTTGCCATTTCCTTCTCCAGCTCTTTTTACAGAGCACGAAACTAAGGCAAACAAGGTAAAGTGACTTGCCCAAAGTCACACAGCGAGGAAGGGTCTGAGGCTGGATTTGAACTCAGGAATGAGTTCCAGGCCCAGAGCTCTATCCATGCATGGCGCCACCTAGCTGCCCATGTTTAAAGCTCATGACAAGCTAATTAAATGTTTTAGACTATACCTTGGTCATAAGCCACTGAGCACAGGCCACCAGTACTATCAGAATGAGAGCAAAGTCTTACTCCCCTCCCAAGTTTGGAGCGGGGATACCTGACTTGGTTCTGAGATCCTGTCTACCAAAAATGGTCACTAATGAATAACAACTGAACACTGGCATGGACCGGGTTCGAGGGGAAGTGTCAAAAGTGTATTTTTCCCAAGCAGGGGTGGGGGGAGGTCCTTAGGGCACAGTCCAGAGTGTCTCTGTAGGGCTCGTGAATCCAGTGCTGTAGAGACCATGGATTTGGGGGCGCCTGCCTACCCACACATAAAAACCTGTCTGTTCAGGTCACCTGAGGGAGTCCTAGCCAGATGTGAGAACCAGGGGCAGAGGGGGCATTCTCCAGCACAGCCTCCCAAGAAATCCAGACACCCCTGGCAGGAGGAAGAGCAGGGAGCGTGCCTGCTGGGTAGGAGGTCAGCGACAGGCCCTCAGGCGGCCAAAGGCTTCACAGAATGAAATAAAAACAGGTGGGCAGAGCAGAAACAAAGTAAAGGGAAGGAAGAATGGCCCAGAAAGCAGTGGGATTCATCTGGTTTTTGTTTACAGAGAGCATCACTCATTCTGCAGGGGAAGCCAGCGTTAGAGAAATGGGAAGCTGCCAATCAACTTACATCCATCAAGCAGCATTTGTTATTTCACAAGGAGAAACCTCCTTTTTCAAGGAGGAGGAAAGACAATAAGGCTGAAAATGAGAGGCAGGGCAAGGGAAGTGCAGGAAAGAAGGAAGGAAGGAAGGAGGGAAGGGAAGGTGGAAAGGGAGAGAGGGAAGAAGGGAAGGAGGGAAAGAAGGATGGACCATAGTTGCTGGAACCATGAACTGATCCAACCATTTTGGAGTGCTATCTGGAATTACGCCCAGTTATTAAACTTCCTATCTGCTTTGATCCAGCAATATTACTACCAGGTTTGTTTCCAAAGATGATCAGGGAGAAAGAAGAAGAATCTACATGCTGTAAAACATTCAGAGCAGATCTCTTGGTGGTGGCCAAGAACTGGAAATTTCAGGGAAGCCTGTCTGTTGGGGAATGGCTTAGCACATTGTGGTATATAATTGTGATGGAGCGCTGCTGTGCTGCAAGAAATGATGAGCTCGATGAGCTTAGAAAAACACGGAAAGACTTGCATGAAATACTGCAGAGTGAAATGTGCAGAACCAAGGGAACGTTGCACACAGTAACAGCGGTATTGTTTTAGGAACAACTTTGAGCAACCAAGCCATTCTGACTATTATCAATGCCCAAGTTCACCATAAAGGACCTAGGAAGGAAGATGCTATCTGCATGCAGAGAAAGAACTGGTAAACAGATGCACAGAATGATTTTACACACACACACACACACACACACACACACACACACACGTGTCTAAATCTAGCGATCTCTGGGGGGAAGGAGAGGAAAGAAAAAAAGGAAAAAAAAGTTACGATTGTCATATATTTAAAAAGAATAGCCAGTTGTACATAACAGATTTGCACTTTCATATGCAATCATCTTTTTTTTCTTTTCTATTCTATACGATGTTATGGAAATGCTTATTTTATTTCTTAAGTTCAGAATAAACTAAATAAAATTTTTAAAAAAAGGCCAGACCACCAAAGTGATTGGGGGTTGGTTGGTTGGTTTTCTGGTCCTTGGGGCAGAAAGAGCAAGGATGATGGAGGGACGATGGCTGAAAGACAGAAGGCTGAGCTGCTCCCTTCTGACTCTAATTCAGCTCGGCTTTCTCTGCCAAGCAGAAAACCTTTGGATTGGAAAGGGCAGAGACAAAGGGGCTTGGAAGAGGGAGTTCAGATGGTGCCCTTTACTGGAGTCTGAGCCCCCTGGTCCAGGTTCTGAGAGAACTGGCAGATGCCCAGCACCCAAGAGACGGTGAGTGGGGCTAATGGACTGAAGAGAGGTTGTGATTTGCAGAGAAGGGGAGAGAAATAGTCTGCCAACTCGAGACTATGGAACCACCCTTTTTTTCCTGATCAAAACTCTAAAACTCTATCATTAAGACACGTCCAGGTCCCACCCTGAAAGGGAAGCAGTGACCGCAGGGAGCCAGCAGGGCAGCTACAACGAGGGCCCTCAGGGGATGTTGGCTTCCTTCTGCAAAGGTTACAAAGCAGGCAGACTGGGGGCTCAAGGGAGAGGTGGTCAAGATGTCACTGAGGTGTCTGACACAATGGAGAGAAATGGGTACGTGATGGTACAATCAGAGGAAAGACGGCTCCGTGGCAGCTGGAGGCGGGTCCCTCAGGGGTCTGTGCTTGGCCTTGCCCTGGGAAGCATCTTTAGCAGGCACCTCAAAAGGGTCATGAGACCACACAGAGGAGGAAGCTAATGCCAACGATACCCAGGGTGATCTGAGCAGGATCCGAAAAAAGGCTGGCACACAAGACCGTGAAGCCGAACGGAATAAAGTGGAATAAAGGCACGATTGCACTGGCCTTCCCCCGGCGTCCCCGGGCCGGAATATTCTGCATCCAGAGGATTCCCGTGCATGCGCCTGCATGGCCAGCCTTCTGCCCCGGTGCCTCCCTTCTAGCCCCCTTCTCTTCACTCACAGAACTCCCATCTCCACAGCCAGCCAGCTCTCGGGTCTCCTCCCACCCCGCTGTCCTACAGGGCGCGTCTGATTACATCACCTCGGCTCAGTAAACTCCCGTGGCTCCTTATTTCTCCAGGAGCAAATAAAAAATCCACGAGGTCATTCCACTGGAAACCTCCCTACATACCAGCACCACCACACTACTGTTAGCTAAGGGTGCCATAGTGGAGAGAGAGCTGGGCCGAGAATCAGGAAGATTCAAGTGCAGATCAGGTATCAGACACTAGCGGGGTGACCCTGGGCAAGTCACTTAACCTGTTTGCCTCAGTTTCCTCATCGGTAAAATGTGGATCATAAAAGCACCTATCCTCCAGGGCTGTTGTGATGATCAAATAAATACTGTCGCATTTGTAAAGTGCTTACAGTGCTTGGCACACAGTAGGCGCTATGTAAGTGTCATTCAGTCGTTTCAGTCACGTCTGACTCTTCATGACCCCTTTCGGAATTTGCTTGGCAAAGATCCTGGTGTGGTTTGCTATTTCCTTCTCCAGCTCATTTTACAGATGAGGAAAATGGGGCAAACAGGTGACTATGATTACATCACCCCCGAATATGTGAATATGTGACCTGCCCAAGGTCACACAGCTTGTAAGTGTCTGAGGCCAGATCTGGGCCCAGGCAGAGGAGTCCTCCTGACTCCAGGCCTGGAGATCTATCTGCTGCACCACCTAGTTAGCTGTTCATTATCATTATTATTATAAACATTATTACTATCCCTGTTGTTATTTCAAAGTGAAATCATTCTACTGACCTTGAGGATAAACTAGTTCCCTGGTGTGAAGCTCAGCTTCTAACTGCAGAATGAAGGGGTTGAGGCAGATGACCTCTGCACCCCCTTGAGCTCTCTCTCCTCAGATCTGACCTTGGGTCAGACCTGGGCCCTTACTGAGGGGCTCCGTTCCTTGCCCAGGCCTCTACCATGCCAGGCAAGAAAGCCTAGAGGCTCCTAGTGTCAGCAACTCAGAAGAGGAGAGGGAGGGTCTCTCTTATCTCAGAGCCAAAATGATGACGTATCAAGGTGAACGCTAGTAGTGCTAAAGGAGGCATTACATAAATATCTACTCAATTAAATGGGCTTTGAAGGCCAAACAGAGCATTTTGTGTTTGACCCTGGAGGCAATAGGGGACCCCTGGAATTTACTGAGTAAGAGAGATGACATAGTGAGACCTAGCTTTAGGAAAATCACTTTGGTGGCTGATTGGAGGATAGACTGGAGGGGGCAAAACTTGAGGCAGGCAGACACCACCAACAACTATTGCAGTATTCCAAGGGTAAGATGATGAGGGTCTTCACCAGGGTGGGGGACAGGATCAGAAGAGAGAAGGGGGGTACTGAAGATATGCAGCAGAGGTGATCTCCACACGAGATACTGCAAAGGTGAAATCCACAAGAGATGCTGCAGAGGTGAAATTGACAAGAGATGCTGCAGAGGTGGTGAAATTGACAAGAGATGCTGCAGAGGTGGTGAAATTGACAA